TCTAGTCTATAGTCTAGTCTATAGTCTAGTCTATAGTCTAGTCTATAGTCTAGTCTATAGTCTAGTCTATAGTCTAGTCTATAGTCTAGTCTATAGTCTAGTCTATAGTCTAGTCTATAGTATAGTCTAGTCTATAGTCTAGTCTATAGTCTAGTCTATAGTCTATTCTATAGTCTAGTCTATAGTCTAGTATAGTCTGTAGTCTAGTCTATAGTGTAGTCTATAGTCTAGCTTATAGGCTAGTCTATAGTCTGGTCTATATTCTTGTCTATAGTCTAGTCTATAGCCTAGTATATAGTCTAGTATATTGTCTATTCTATAGTTTAATCTATAGTTTAGTTTATAGTCTAGTTTATAGTCTAGTATATAGTCTGTAGTCTAGTCTATAGTGTAGTCTATAGTCTAGCTTATAGGCTAGTCTATAGTCTGGTCTATAGTGTAGTTTATAGTCTAGTCTATAGCCTAGTAATAGTCTAGTATATAGTCTATTCTATAGGCTAATCTATAGTCTAGTCTACAGCCTAGTATATAGTCTAGTCTATAGTCTAGTCTATAGTCTAGTCTATAGTCTAGTCTATAGTCTAGTCTATAGTCTAGTCTATAGTCTAGTCTATAGTCTAGTCTATAGTCTAGTCTATAGTCTAGTCTATAGTCTAGTCTTATTAGTTCTAGTCTAAGTCTAGTCTATAGTCTAGTCTATAGTCTAGTCTATAGTCTAGTCTATAGTCTAGTCTATAGTCTAGTCTATAGTCTAGTCTATAGTCTAGTCTATAGTCTAGTCTATAGTCTAGTCTATAGTCTAGTCTATAGTCTAGTCTATAGTCTAGTCTATAGTCTAGTCTATAGTCTAGTCTATAGTCTGTCTATAGTCTAGTCTATAGTCTAGTCTATAGTCTAGTCTATAGTCTAGTCTATAGTCTAGTCTATAGTCTAGTCTATAGTCTCGTCTATAGTCTAGTCTAGTCTAGTCTATAGTCTAGTCTATAGTCTAGTCTATAGTCTAGTCTATAGTCTAGTCTATAGTCTAGTCTATAGTCTAGTTCTATAGTCTAGTCTATAGTTAGTCTATAGTCTAGTCTATAGTCTAGTCTATAGTCTAGTCTAGTCTATAGTCTAGTCTATAGTCTAGTCTATAGTCTAGTCTATAGTCTAGTCTATAGTCTAGTCTATAGTCTAGTCTATAGTCTAGTCTATATCTAGTCTATAGTCTAGTCTATAGTCTAGTCTATAGTCTAGTCTATAGTCTAGTCTATAGTCTAGTCTATAGTCTAGTCTATAGTCTAGTCTATAGTCTAGTCTATAGTCTAGTCTATAGTCTAGTCTATAGTCTAGTCTATAGTCAGTCTATAGTCTAGTCTATAGTCTAGTCTATAGTCTAGTCTATAGTCTAGTCTATAGTCTAGTCTATAGTCTAGTCTATAGTCTAGTCTATAGTCTAGTCTATAGTCTAGTCTATAGTCTAGTCTATAGTCTAGTCTATAGTCTGTCTATAGTCTAGTATAGTCTAGTAGTATAGTCTATAGTCTATAGTCTAGCCTATAGTCTGGTCTAGTCTATAGTCTATTCGATGGTCTAATCTATAGTCTTGATGTTTAGTATTGTCTTCGTCTAGTCAATATTAACGTAGACCAGTCTGTAGACTATTCTATATTCTAGTCTTTAGACGAAGTAGTGAAGTACTTTTTTAGCATTTAAGCTAACTAACTTCTAGAAGCTATTTGGAGTTGTTGCTGTTTGGTTTGCCTGATGTGTGCACAAACATTGGCGCTCTTTTTTTGTTGCGCAAGTACTTTAATTGAGAGCATTTTGATGTCATAATTCTTGAGTGTAGCTTTAGGGACGATTAAATTACTTCAATCAACAATGTGCAGTGATTGACAAACCGTTTTTATATTTATTTCTTTCTTGCCTTTTCTCATATCATATCATACAATATATCCTTCTAAATATGCATACAATTTGTTGTTGTAATTTTCTATATGATATTTTTTCTGTAACTTTTACTCTATTGTTATGAGTTTTAGGTTGATTTTTTCTTTTTTGTCGTTAAGGGTATTGTGATTTTGCTTGGGGTTTTTTTTATATTTTTGCCTATTTTTATGAATGTATGATTAAAGGGGCTTCAATAATAAAATCTGTATGGATGTTTGTACGTGTAAGTGTGGGTGTTTATATCTGTGTAATAATTCCCCCTTTACCTTCATAAAGTGCATAAAATTTGTTGTTTGTTTTTCTATTTTTGTTCCCTTTTGCTTTCAATTTCATTTAGTTTCCTTGTTTTTTGTGTTTGTTTCTTTTTTGTTTGTGGTTGTTGATGTGTATGTTTGTTTGTTCGAGTACTTGTGTGTGTGTGTGTTTGTTTGTGTGAAATTTTACTATTGCGGTAAACAGAAAAATGTTAAACTTGGGATTTGAAATTATTAAAAAAGCAACAAAAACGAAAACAACTACAAAATATTAGAACTTCGGTACTTGTTTGGCATCAGCAGGACTGCAGTGATGGTAGAAGTAGTCATACGTCTCTGTGTACGTTCATACATAAGTATGTATGTGTGTATGTAAAAGTTGATGGTACTAAAAACATGTTGGAGTACTTTCTATATTTTACTTTATTCCATGATGATACTACAAGTGTTGTTTTTTGCTGTTCTTAAATCATTTATAACGAAGGCAGTGCCTTAAAAAATTGATTTTTATAAATAGGATGAAATCTTTGGCTCTAGTTCATAAATTGCAATTACGTTAGCATTATTTATTTGAAACTTGTTGCAATCACTTTAACAATTTCTAAAATCCTTTTCATTGCGCCCTCCTATCAGAATATATAGTAGCTTTACCATTATTCTGTGTTGGCAAGTTATTTACTTTAATAGTGGTTTTGCTAGATCTATGTAAGTGTGTATTTCTTATTAGTGTTCGTGGAAAAAGAGAAATTTTATGAGGTTGTTTTTCTGTTTTTATTATTTCGGCATTTTCAAGCAGTTTATAAAATTCATTAAGTATTTTTTTCAGTTTTTTGTTTTGCTATATTTTTTGATAAAGTTAAAACGAATAGTATAGAACTTTAAATAATTAATTAAAAAAAAGAAGGCAAAAGAGGACTAGAGTTTTCTGCAGAGATTGAAAATCAATTGAATGTTAAAGAGAAAAACTTGTGGAACATTTTAATGAATTTAAAACGAAAATTTGACAGGAACAGCAACAAAAGTGAAAGTTAGAATGTGTTAATGAAATAGAGTTGGATACTTTATTTAATGAGTTCTGGAAAATAAAAAATTTATAAAATGTTTTTATGTCGAAGATAATATGATAACATTTGGTTCAATAAATAAGCCTTCACCAACATGCAAATGAGTAATATTAGCGAAGAGTAGAAAATAAATAATAATCATACGTACAGGGATATAAAATAATTTTAACCTACATAGTTCAGTTCTAGTTCAGTTCTAATTCAGTTCTAGTTCAGTTCTAGTTCAGTTCTAGTTCAGTTCTAGTTCAGTTCTAGTTCAGTTCTAGTTCAGTTCTAGTTCAGTTCTAGTTCAGTTCTAGTTCAGTTCTAGTTCAGTTCTAATTCAGTTCTAGTTTAGTTCTAGTTCAGTTCTAGTTCAGTTCTTGTTCAGTTCTAGTTCAGTTCTAGTTCAGTTCTAGTTCAGTTCTAGTTCAGTTCTAGTTCAGTTCTAGTTCAGTTCTAGTTCACTTCTAGTTCACTTCTAGTTCACTTCTAGTTCACTTCTAGTTCATTCTAGTTCAGTTCTAGTTCAGTTCTAGTTCAGTTCTAGTTCTAGTTCAGTTCTAGTTCAGTTCTAGTTCAGTTCTAGTTCAGTTCTAGTTCAGTTCTAGTTCAGTTCTAGTTCAGTTCTAGTTCAGTTCTAGTTCAGTTCTAGTTCAGTTCTAGTTCAGTTCTAGTTCAGTTCTAGTTCAGTTCTAGTTCAGTTCTAGTTCAGTTCTAGTTCAGTTCTAGTTCAGTTCTAGTTCAGTTCTAGTTCAGTTCTAGTTCAGTTCTAGTTCAGTTCTAGTTCAGTTCTAGTTCAGTTCTAGTTCAGTTCTAGTTCAGTTCTAGTTCAGTTCTAGTTCAGTTCTAGTTCAGTTCTAGTTCAGTTCTAGTTCAGTTCTAGTTCAGTTCTAGTTCAGTTCTAGTTCAGTTCTAGTTCAGTTCTAGTTCAGTTCTAGTTCAGTTCTAGTTCAGTTCTAGTTCAGTTCTAGTTCAGTTCTAGTTCAGGTCTAGTTCAGTTCTAGTTCAGTTCTAGTTCAGTTCTAGTTCAGTTCTAGTTCTAGTTCAGTTCTAGTTCAGTTTAGTTCTAGTTCAGTTCTAGTTAGTTCTAGTTCAGTTCTAGTTCAGTTCTAGTTCAGTTCTAGTTCAGTTCTAGTTCAGTTCTAGTTCAGTTCTAGTTCAGTTCGTTCTCAGTTCTAGTTCAGTTCTAGTTCAGTTCTAGTTCAGTTCTAGTTCAGTTCTAGTTCAGTTCTAGTTCAGTTCTAGTTCAGTTCTAGTTCAGTTCTAGTTCAGTTCTAGTTCAGTTCTAGTTCAGTTCTAGTTCAGTTCTAGTTCAGTTCTAGTTCAGTTCTAGTTCAGTTCTAGTTCAGTTCTAGTTCAGTTCTAGTTCAGTTCTAGTTCAGTTCTAGTTCAGTTCTAGTTCACTTCTAGTTCAGTTCTAGTTCAGTTCTAGTTCAGTTCTAGTTCAGTTCTAGTTCAGTTCTAGTTCAGTTCTAGTTCAGTTCTAGTTCAGTTCTAGTTCAGTTCTAGTTCAGTTCTAGTTCAGTTCTAGTTCAGTTCTAGTTCAGTTCTAGTTCAGTTCTAGTTCAGTTCTAGTTCAGTTCTAGTTCAGTTCTAGTTCAGTTCTAGTTCAGTTCTAGTTCAGTTCTAGTTCAGTTCTAGTCAGTTCTAGTTCAGTTCTAGTTCAGTTCTAGTTCAGTTCTAGTTCAGTTCTAGTTCAGTTCTAGTTCAGTTTAAATTTTTGTAAATCTGCTTATAAAATTTTCAATAAAACGCACATTAATTTCACTGGTTTTCTTTTTTATAGTAATTTTTATTAAAAAAAAATATTTACTTGACTTTACCCATTATAATAAAAAAAATATTACTTAAACAATTAGTAAAATTATACATTTTCTTTTTAACAAAAAGAAGGGCATAAAACTAGAAAACTAAAAGTACAAAAAATACACATTTTGAAACATAAAATATAAACTGAAAGTGAAATAAAATAGTTAAATTATAAGAAAGGTGTAAACACGTAACGAGTATTTTTTTACTAGATTTCAAAACAATAAAATAGCATTTAAAAGTAAAATTTTAATTAAATTTTTATCCTCAAACCTCGTTAAAGTGAATATCCTTAATAAAGTACAGACATATTTTTTGTATGTTAAAAATTGTATAAAACTATAAATAACTTTTGGTAAATAAGTACATACAAAATATTATTTACTATAAAAAAACAAAAAAAAAAACATAAAATAAAATAAAAATAATAATAATAAATCAGAATAATAATCTTCAAATAACACTCACACACTTGTACAGAGACAAATATATATTTTTTGAAATGAACAATTTCCCAAAAATCGCTTTTACAAAAATAAAAATTTAAACATCTGATACAGCAACACCGCCGTCAACGTGTAGACCACAAACAGAGTGGTGTAGTGTAAAATCTTTAAGCTGCAAAAAAACCGAAAAAAAAAACAAATATTATTCCATTTATTAAAAAGGTATATCACAACGTCATCATCATCATCAGCTTCAACGTCAATATGGTTTTCAAAACAATAACAACAAAAATTGGGCAAAAAAAAAAATACATACCGTTCATGGTCGTTTCATTGATTCCGGTATTGTGCTAGGATCATCTTTAACCACATACTGGCGTACACCCACTAAACTCAATTGAAACACTTCGGTCCAGTTTAGATTGCGCATATCGAATGCAAACAATTCTTTATCCGCTGATTCCAATTTACTGGAGAGTGCTCGCACATTGTCATTGTCGAATTTGAAATCATTTGCCGAAAAATATTCCATCAGTGAGCAGAATTTGTGGATTTTGCGATAAATTTTTAACATCCTAAAAATACAAAAAAAAATGAAACAACAAAAATATAGCATAAAAATCAACAGCAATAATAACAAACAAAAAATATACAATGACTATATAGGAGCCTTAACAACAATAACAGAAAAGTAAAATTGGGTTAATAAAAATTTATCTGTATGATGAAAAGGATGAAAACACGTACAAATTCAACTAGACACAGATACAGTCACAATCAGAGACAGACAAATACACACAGAATAATAATAATATTCGTTTTTAGCACTTTAAATATGTGACAAGGAAATTGGCAACAATTTTGTCTAGAAACTATAGAAAGATGAGCATAATAATAGAAAACAGACAAATTTCGCTTCTTAATAGAGAAGTTTAGTTCAGTTCTTGTTTAATTCTAGTTGAGTTCTAGTTCAGTTGTAGTTCAGTTGTAGTTCAGTAGTTCAGTTCTAGTTCAGTTCTAGTTCAGTTCTAGTTCAGTTCTAGTTCAGTTCTAGTTCAGTTCTAGTTCAGTTCTAGTTCAGTTCTAGTTCAGTTCTAGTTCAGTTCTAGTTCAGTTCTAGTTCAGTTCTAGTTCAGTTCTAGTTCAGTTCTAGTTCAGTTCTAGTTCAGTTCTAGTTCAGTTCTAGTTCAGTTCTAGTTCAGTTCTAGTTCAGTTCTAGTTCAGTTCTAGTTCAGTTCTAGTTCAGTTCTAGTTCAGTTCTAGTTCAGTTCTAGTTCAGTTCTAGTTCAGTTCTAGTTCAGTTCTAGTTCAGTTCTAGTTCAGTTCTAGTTCAGTTCTAGTTCTGTTCTAGTTCTGTTCTAGTTCTGTTCTAGTTCTGTTCTAGTTCTGTTCTAGTTCAGTTCTAGTTCAGTTCTAGTTCAGTTCTAGTTCAGTTCTATTTCAGTTCTAGTTCAGTTCTAGTTCAGTCCTAGTTCAGTTCTAGTTCAGTTCTAGTTCAGTTCTAGTTCAGTTCTAGTTCAGTTCTAGTTCAGTTCTAGTTCAGTTCTAGTTCAGTTCTAGTTCAGTTCTAGTTCAGTTCTAGTTCAGTTCTAGTTCAGTTCTAGTTCAGTTCTAGTTCAGTTCTAGTTCAGTTCTAGTTCAGTTCTAGTTCAGTTCTAGTTCAGTTCTAGTTCAGTTCCAGTTCAGTTCTAGTTCAGTTCTAGTTCAGTTCTAGTTCAGTTCTAGTTCAGTTCTAGTTCAGTTCTAGTTCAGTTCTAGTTCAGTTCTAGTTCAGTTCTAGTTCAGTTCTAGTTCAGTTCTAGTTCAGTTCTAGTTCAGTTCTAGTTCAGTTCTAGTTCAGTTCTAGTTCAGTTCTAGTTCAGTTCTAGTTCAGTTCTAGTTCAGTTCTAGTTCAGTTCTAGTTCAGTTCTAGTTCAGTTCTAGTTCAGTTCTAGTTCAGTTCTAGTTCAGTTCTAGTACAGTTCTAGTTCAGTTCTAGTTCAGTTCTAGTTCAGTTCTAGTAGCTTCGATTCCATATCAGTTTTAGTTCGGTACTTTAAAGTAATTTAATACAATCTTTCTAAGCGTATGATTTCCAAACACAATTCACCTGTCAATTTGACTACGCGCTGTTTCCATTTATTACCCCCTCTGACTGATGTTTCCCATTGATAAGTTTTTGCCTTTAAAAAAATGTTTAATCTCTAGTGTAAACAAATGTGTTTTAGCGTTTATATGTGAGTGTGTTTGTGTAAACACATCTTTGTCTGTCTACAGCTGTGGAGCCTGCATATGAATCTCTATTGCATACGTGTCACATCGCACACATTTGTGTAACAATGACTCCTCATACATACATTCATTCATTCATTTATTCGTTTTCATACACAAGTCAGAATCATATATTACCTGGGCTTTTTACCAATCACCAGCATTAACATGTCCATAAAGAGGGCGGGTAATGTATGATAGAAAAATGCCAATATAAAATTGAAATTTTGTGGGAACAATCGTAAAACGTGGATACCAAATCGATTTGCGTAACGGCAAGCTTTTACCACATTCCGTACCAAATGTAATGTATTCACGCCATGTTGACAATTGTTGGCATCCGGTACATAATTATAAATGGGTGGGTTGTCAAACTGTAAAATGCCATCAATAACAATGGCCAAAAAAAGGATAAGAGCAAAAACAACAAAAAATATATGAATTTAAATTTATCAATTGTAAAGGAATTTGTGGCAGGCCACAAACAATTCAGACACAAAAAAGCAACACATACGTATTTCTAGCAATATCCCAGGCACTAGTTAACAAGGCATTGACACACAAATCCACAGGCACTAATTGGGCCTTGTTGTCCACATTACCGCTAAAAACACGTAAAACGCCCGAACCTACGCCCACAATAATGCCACAGGGACCATACATGTGTCTATCCATCCGGTAATGGGTTCACGGTAGGTAGTTATAACTAAAAAATAAAGTCCAACAATTATAAATGGCCTTCGGGCAAATATCATTGTCTACTCACCTATACCCGGACGAAATATGGTAACTGGCAAATTCCTGCATAGTTTTGTACCACATCCTCAGCCAAGACTTTTGTAAATGTGTATGTATTCGGGTAGCCCTTAATAATGGTGGGCGTCAGCAAGTTCAAAGTCTGCTCATCCAAACACTCACTCAGTTTGCAGGCATTATCACCTGACAAAGGGGAATTATAGAATTTCTCTTGTATATAACGACGGTTGCAATGAGCAAATGCTGTGGACACATGCACCACTGCCTTAAGGTGAACAATTTCCTTAGATAATCTTAAAATTTCCTTTGTACCATTGACATTAATGGCAATGGCCATTTTTAGTTTTTCATCAAAACGTACTGTAGCAGCACCATGTATGACAATATTCACATTATCTTTAAGCAACTCACGATCTTCTGTGCTGATGCCCAAACCCAGTTGTGATACATCTCCGGAGATGAGGGTGATTTTTTCTCGATATTGTGGATTGACTTTTTTCAAGCGTTCGAAAACCTTTGAGAGAGAGAAGTAAAAATTAGTTTTAATATTTTGGAGTACTTAAAAAAATAAACTTACTGGATCATTGAATAGATCATCTAGACGAGATTGTACATCTTTTCCCTTTTTCGTACGTATCAGCAAAAAAATTTGACCAACATCGGTGACACGCAAAAGTTTTTCAATTATAACTGAAAATTAAGGATAAAGAAAAATATTTTAATAAAAATAGAACTAGAACTGAACTAGAACTGAACTAGAACTGAACTAGAACTGAACTAGAACTGAACTAGAACTGAACTAGAACTGAACTAGAACTGAACTAGAACTGAACTAGAACTGAACTAGAACTGAACTAGAACTGAACTAGAACTGAACTAGAACTGAACTAGAACTGAACTAGAACTGAACTAGAACTGAACTAGAACTGAACTAGAACTGAACTAGAACTGAACTAGAACTGATCTAGAACTGAACTAGAACTGAACTAGAAACTGAACTAGAACTGAACTAGAACTAAACTAGACCTGAACTAGAACTGAACTAGAACTGAACTAGAACTGAACTAGAACTGAACTAGAACTGAACTAGAACTGAACTAGAACTGAACTAGAACTGAACTAGAACTGAACTAGAACTGAACTAGAACTGAACTAGAACTTAACTAGAACTGAACTAGAACTGAACTAGAACTGAACTAGAACTGAACTAGAACTGAACTAGAACTGAACTAGAACTGAACTAGAACTGAACTAGAACTGAACTAGAACTGAACTAGAACTGAACTAGAACTGAACTAGAACTGAACTAGAACTGAACTAGAACTGAACTAGAACTGAACTAGAACTGAACTAGAACTGAACTAGAACTGAACTAGAACTGAACTAGAACTGAACTAGAACTGAACTAGAACTGAACTAGAACTGAACTAGAACTGAACTAGAACTGAACTAGAACTGAACTAGAACTGAACTAGAACTGAACTAGAACTGAACTAGAAATGAACTAGAACTGAACTAGAACTGAACTAGAACTGAACTAGAACTGAACTAGAACTGAACTAGAACTGAACTAGAACTGAACTAGAAGTGAACTAGAACTGAACTAGAACTGAACTAGAACTGAACTAGAAGTGAACTAGAACTGAACTAGAACTGAACTAGAACTGAACTAGAACTGAACTAGAACTGAACTAGAAATGAACTAGAACTGAACTAGAACTGAACTAGAACTAATCTAGAACTGAACTAGAACTGAACTAGAACTGAATTAGAACTGAACTAGAACTGAACTAGAACTGAACTAGAACTGAACTAGAACTGAACTAGAACTGAACTAGAACTGAACTAGAACTAGAACTGAACTAGAACCGAACTAGAACTGAACTAGAACTAATCTAGAACTGAACTAGAACTGAACTAGAACTGAATTAGAACTGAACTAGAACTGAACAAGAACTGAACTAGAACTGAACTAAAACTGATCTAGAACTGAACTAAAACTGAACTAGAACTGAACTAGACTATATCAGTGTTAAATCTGTGACTTTATTATCAACTTAAATTCCTTAAAATTTTCTTTTTACCCTTTAAGGCAATTTCTCTTAATTGTTTGTCACTTAAATAAACTGTTAATCCCGATAAATATTTCCCAAAGCCTTTTAATTAAACAAACTTTTCAAAATACTTACTTTTACCGAAAAATCCCGTGCCACCAGTCAAGAAAACACCTTTATCCTTGTAGAACATTTGCATGGGTGATTCTGTAACGAAATTTGAAAGTAAATAAACATTAAATAAATTTGTTTATTCAAAATAACTGTAGAGAAAATACTAGAAATAAGAAAATCAAAATAGTAAAATAAAACGAAAAATGCCATTAAAATGAGATTTATTTATGTAACTAAAATGTCAATACAAGAGGCAATGAGATTCTACAAAGAAAAAAAGTGTTAAAATATGCCAAAAATTTCAAACTTCCCTTTCCCCGCCTGTTTCACTGTAATGATATTTTTCACAGTTTTTCTTACGAAAATCCAGCCATATTTATTTGTTTAACCTTTTTTTCCTTTTTCGAGCTGATTTTATAGAAAACTACAACAACATTAATGTTGCAGCAAAAAAGGAATCTGTATTTACATTTACATAAATTATCAAGCTCCTCTTCTTGTTCGGCTGCAAGGCTTTAGGTGCTAGTTGTTGTAGCTAATACATATGTACTTATGTTGTTTTTCTTCTGCCTTTTTTTGCTGGTGCGAATAAGCTATTTTGGTTGTGTTCTTTTTTTTTCCAGTTTTCTACAGAAATGGTTTTTGCACATTGTAAATTCATAAGTGTAAAGTTAAAATCAATACACCCTCATATTAATTCATACATAAAGAAGTATTTCTGCCAAACATTCACATGTTCTATTCTATTCGTATACACTTCTACACTTATTTACAGTTAGACAGTTACAGATAGAGACATTATCAGAGAAATACACACAAACATAAATACATGCACACATCTACTTATAAACATTTTCACACATGTATTTCGGTTTACAAACATGTACAAAACCAATAACGAACAAGTACAAGCAACACACTGGGAAAATATTTTGCCAACAAACAGCAGTGAAGGACAAAATAAAGGGGAGTCTTAACAAAATTGAACTTAATTGAAACTAAAACTGAAATGGAATCGAAGTTAAGTAATATTAAACAAGAAATAATAGAGATATGAACCTGAATTTATACAGAAATAGTTTATATAGAACCTAAGCTAAAAATTCATTACAACCGATCACAACAAATAATTATAACTTAATATCTTCTGATCTAGAACTACACTAGAACTGAACTAGAACTGAACTAGAACTGAACTAGAACTGAACTGAACTAGAACTGAACTAGAACTGAACTAGAACTGAACTAGAACTGATCTAGAACTGCACTAGAACTGAACTAGAACTGAACTAGAACTGAACTAGAACTGAACTAGAACTGAACTAGAACTGAACTAGAAATGAACTAGAACTGAACTAGAACTGAACTAGAATTGAACTAGAACTGAACTAGAACTGAACTAGAACTGAACTAGAACTGAACTAGAACTGAACTAGAACTGAACTAGAACTGAACTAGAACTGAACTAGAACTGAACTAGAACTGAACTAGAACTGAACTAGAACTGAACTAGAACTGAACTAGAACTGAACTAGAACTGAACTAGAACTGAACTAGAACTGAACTAGAACTGAACTAGAACTGAACTAGAAATGAACTAGAACTGAACTAGAACTGAACTAGAACTGAACTAGAACTGAACTAGAACTGAACTAGAACTGAACTAGAACTGAACTAGAACTGAACTAGAACTGAACTAGAACTGAACTAGAACTGAACTAGAACTGAACTAGAACTGAACTAGAACTGAACTAGAACTGAACTAGAACTGAACTAGAACTGAACTAGAACTGAACTAGAACTGAACTAGAACTGAACTAAACTGAACTAGAACTGAACTAGAACTGAACTAGAACTGAACTAGAACTGAACTAGAACTGAACTAGAACTGAACTAGAACTGAACTAGAACTGAACTAGAACTGAACTAGAACTGAACTAGAACTGAACTAGAACTGAAATAGAACTGAACTAGAACTGAACTAGAACTGAACTAGAACTTAACTAGAACTTAACTAGAACTGAACTAGAACTGAACTAGAACTGAACTAGAACTGAACTAGAACTGAACTAGAACTGAACTAGAACTAGAACTGAACTAGAACTAAACGAGAACTGAACTAGAACTGAACTAGAACTGAACTAGAACTGAACTAGAACTGAACTAGAACTAGAACTAGAACTGAAAACTAGAACTGAACTAGAACTGAACTAGAACTGAACTAGAAACTGAACTAGAACTGAACTAGAACTGAACTAGAAGAACTAGAATGAACTAGAACTGAGCTAGAACTGAACTAGAACTGAACTAGAACTGAACTAGAACTGAAGTAGAACTGAACTAGAACTGAACTAAACTGAACTAGAACTGAACTAGAACTGAACTAGAGCTGAACTAGAACTGAACTAGAACTCTGAACTAGAACTGAACTAGAACTGAACTAGAACTGAACTAGAACTGAACTAGAACTGAACTAGAACTGAACTAGAACTGAACTAGAACTGAACTAGAACTGAACTAGAACTGAACTAGAACTGAACTAGAACTGAACTAGAACTGAACTAGAACTGAACTAGAACTGAACTAGAACTGAACTAGAACTGAACTAGAACTGAACTAGAACTGAACTAGAACTGAACTAGAACTGAACTAGAACTGAACTAGAACTGAACTAGAACTGAACTAGAACTGAACTAGAACTGAACTAGAACTGAACTAGAACTGAACTAGAACTGAACTAGAACTGAACTAGAACTGAACTAGAACTGAACTAGAACTGAACTAGAACTGAACTAGAACTGAACTAGAACTGAACTAGAACTGAACTAGAACTGAACTAGAACTGAACTAGAACTGAACTAGAACTGAACTAGAACTGAACTAGAATGAACTAGAACTGAACTAGAACTGAACTAGAACTGAACTAGAACTGAACTAGAACTGAACTAGAACTGAACTAGAACTGAACTAGAACTGAACTAGAACTGAACTAGAACTGAACTAGAACTGAAACTAGAACTGAACTAGAACTGAACTAGAACTGAACTAGAACTGAACTAGAACTGAACTAGAACTGAACTAGAACTGAACTAGAACTGAACTAGAACTGAACTAGAACTGAACTAGAACTGAACTAGAACTGAACTAGAACTGAACTAGAACTGAACTAGAACTGAACTAGAACTGAACTAGAACTGAACTAGAACTGAACTAGAACTGAACTAGAACTGAACTAGAACTGAACTAGAACTGAACTAGAACTGAACTAGAACTGAACTAGAACTGAAATAGAACTGAACTAGAACTGAACTAGAACTGAACTAGAACTTAACTAGAACTTAACTAGAACTGAACTAGAACTGAACTAGAACTGAACTAGAACTGAACTAGAACTGAACTAGAACTAGAACTGAACTAGAACTAAACGAGAACTGAACTAGAACTGAACTAGAAACTGAACTAGAACTGAACTAGAACTAAAACTAGAACTGAACTAGAACTGAACTAGAACTGAACTAGAACTGAACTAGAACTGAACTAGAACTGAACTAGAACTGAACTAGAACTGAACTAGAACTGAACTAGAACTGAACTAGAACTGAGCTAGAACTGAACTAGAACTGAACTAGAACTGAACTAGAACTGAAGTAGAACTGAACTAGAACTGAACTAGAACTGAACTAGAACTGAACTAGAACTGAACTAGAGCTGAACTAGAACTGAACTAGAACTGAACTAGAACTGAACTAGAACTGAACTAGAACTGAACTAGAACTGAACTAGAACTGAACTAGAACTGAACTAGAACTGAACTAGAACTGAACTAGAACTGAACTAGAACTGAACTAGAACTGAACTAGAACTGAACTAGAACTGAACTAGAACTGAACTAGAACTGAACTAGAACTGAACTAGAACTGAACTAGAACTGAACTAGAACTGAACTAGAACTGAACTAGAACTGAACTAGAACTGAACTAGAACTGAACTAGAACTAACTAGAACTGAACTAGAACTGAACTAGAACTGAACTAGAACTGAACTAGAACTGAACTAGAACTGAACTAGAACTGAACTAGAACTAGAACTGAACTAGAACTAAACGAGAACTGAACTAGAACTGAACTAGAACTGAACTAGAACTAGAACTAGAACTAGAACTGAACTAGAACTGAACTAGAACTGAACTAGAACTGAACTAGAACTGAACTAGAACTGAACTAGAACTGAACTAGAACTGAACTAGAACTGAACTAGAACTGAACTAGAACTGAACTAGAACTGAACTAGAACTGAACTAGAACTGAACTAGAACTGAACTAGAACTGAACTAGAACTGAACTAGAACTGAACTAGAACTGAACTAGAACTGAAGTAGAACTGAACTAGAACTGAACTAGAACTGAACTAGAACTGAACTAGAACTGAACTAGAGCTGAACTAGAACTGAACTAGAACTGAACTAGAACTGAACTAGAACTAAACTAGAACTGAACTAGAACTGAACTAGAACTGAACTAGAACTGAACTAGAATTGAACTAGAACTGAACTAGAACTGAACTAGAACTGAACTAGAACTGAGCTAGAGCTAAACTAGAACTGAACTAGAACTGAACTAGAACTGAACTAGAACTGAACTAGAACTGAACTAGAACTGAACTAGAACTGAACTAGAACTGAACTAGAACTGAACTAGAACTGAACTAGAACTGAACTAGAACTGAACTATAACTGAACTAGAACTGAACTAGAACTGAACTAGAACTGAACTAGAACTGAACTAGAAACTGAACTAGAACTGAACTAGAACTGAACTAGAACTGAACTAGAACTGAACTAGAACTGAACTAGAACTGAACTAGAACTGAACTAGAACTGAACTAGAACTGAACTAGAACTGAACTAGAACTGAACTAGAACTGAACTAGAACTGAACTAGAACTGAACTAGAACTGAACTAGAACTGAACTAGAACTGAACTAGAACTGAACTAGAACTGAACTAGAACTGAACTAGAACTGAACTAGAACTGAACTAGAACTGAACTAGAGCTGAAGTAGAACTGAACTAGAACTGAACTAGAACTGAACTAGAACCGAACTAGAACTGAACTAGAACTGAACTAGAACTGAACTAGAACTGAACTAGAACTGAAGTAGAACTGAACTAGAACTGAACTAGAACTAGAACTGAACTAGAACTGAACTAGAACTGAACTAGAACTGAACTAGAACTGAAGTAGAACTGAACTAGAACTGAACTAGAACTAGAACTGAACTAGAACTGAACTAGAATTGAGCTAAAACTGTAATAGAACTGAACTAGAACTGAACTAGAACTGAACTAGAACTGAACTAGAACTGAACTAGAACTGAACTAGAACTGAACTAGAACTGAACTAGAACTGAACTAGAACCGAACTAGAACTGAACTGAACTGAACTGACTAGAACTGAACTAGAACTGAACTAGAACTAGAACTGAACTAGAACTGAACTAGAACTGAACTAGAACTGAACTAGAACTGAACTAGAACTGAACTAGAACCGAACTAGAACTGAACTAGAACTAGGATTAAGCTGGAACTGAACTATAACTAAACTAGAATTCAGCTAAGATTGAAATAGAACGAGTAGTAAATTTGAAGTGAATATAATTGTATTTGATCTGTTAAATAACATGATAATATTTTATTCTATACTTATACCCACAACTGCTTGTAATCATATACATACATACATACTTATGTATGTAACCTATACATAAATACGATTTTTTATCATTATAATCATCATTATCGTTTTCATTGCCCATATTAAAACATGATGACTTATTTAACAAATACTCATACCAAACACTTTGCAATGCACAACGAGACATTCTTAAAATTCTAGGAAATTGACAAACACACTGACAAATGTAATTATTTAAAGAAACATATACATACATATGTATGTATGTGCACAGATATGCTTATATAAGCACTAAAGGATGTATATATGTATGTCTATATAATTGATGATTAAACATAAGTTCATACATATGCATTTAAATATAAGCATACCTTTGTATACACACATTCATAATATAATGCATTATTATAAATGTATAGGTATGAGTGTGTACATTAGATAACATTATTATACATACATACACATGTATAAACATCTATTTTTATTGTTTTTGCAGTTCAACCTACTAAATGATACATAAAATAGCTACGAGTGATTTGTAACAAACTTCAATATTTGTTTTCATTACTTGTCTTTCTCCCTCCTCTTCATCAACAACCTCTCTAATGTCAGCCACCCCAAAATTAATCTCTATTTGTCAGTGTGTGTCGGTCTGTATCGTAGAAAATTGGTCTGTCTATTATCGGCTTATAATATTGAACGTATTTTTCTGCTTAAACAATTTGCTAAAGGACTACTACTGATTTCAGTTGAAAATTCTCCCACTCCTCATCGTTCCATGTCTCGTTATGTTCGAGTGGTTAACGTGTGAATATCTTTTAATAGCCAATCATTATTCTCTTCATCAGCGTCATCGACATCCTTATAAAATATCATCAATGTTTAAAAACCACTTGAAAAAAATCATCAATATTCAAATAAATTAAAAGCATAACGCCTTAATGGTTCAGAACAAGTATGATTTTTTATTAATATGTGAGTTACTTTTTTGCATAGATTAGGGTTTATACTTTGTGCTAGGGAGAAAATTGGCAAAAAAATATATATAGAGTTGCCAAACGTCAACAAGAACAAAAGTAACAAAACTAATTTAAAACAGTTGTTTAGGAAAAAAAACTGAGATCATTTCGATTTAATACCAGTTCTAATTCAATTTTAGTTTTAGTTGTAGTTCTGTTCTAGTTCAGTTCTAGTTCAGTAATAGTTTTTCTGTTCTAGTTCTGTTCTAGTTCTGTTCTAGTTCTAGGTTCTGTGTTCTAGTTCTGTTCTAGTTCGTTCTAGTTCTGTTTCTAGTTCTGTTCGAGTTCTGTTCTAGTTCTGTTCTAGTTCTGTTCTAGTTCTGTTCTAGTTCTGTTCTATGTTCAGTGTTCTAGTTCTGTTTCTAGTTCTGTTCTAGTTCTGTTCTAGTTCTGTTCTAGTTCTGTTCTAGTTCGTTCTAGTTCTGTTTCTAGTTCTGTTCTAGTTCTGTTCTAGTTCTGTTCTTGTTCTGTTCTAGTTCTGTTCTAGTTCTGTTCTAGTTCTGTTCTAGTTCTGTTCTAGTTCTGTTCTAGTTCTGTTCTAGTTGCGTTCTAGTTCTGTTCTAGTTCTGTTCTAGTTATGTTCTAGTTATGTCTAGTTCTGTTCTAGTTCTGTTTCTAGTTCTGTTCTAGTTCTGTTCTAGTTCTGTTCTAGTTCTGTTCTAGTTCTGTTCAAGTTATGTTCTGTTCTAGTTCTAGTTCTGTTCTAGTTCTGTTTAGTTCTAGTTCTAGTTCTGTTCTAGTTCTGTTCTAGTTCTGTTCTAATTCTGTTCTAGTTCTGTTCTAGTTCTGTTCTAGTTCTGTTCTAGTTCTGTTCTAGTTCTGTTTCTAGTTCTGTTCTAGTTCTGTTCTAGTTCTGTTCTAGTTCTGTTCTAGTTCTGTTCTAGTTCTGTTCTAGTTCTGTTCTAGTTCTGTTCTAGTTCTGTTCTAGTTCTGTTCTAGTTCTGTTCTAGTCTGTTCTAGTTCTGTTCTAGTTCTGTTCTAGTTCTGTTCTACTTCTGTTCTAGTTCTGTTCTAGTTCTGTTCTACTTCTGTTCTAGTTCTGTTCTAGTTCTGTTCTAGTTCTGTTCTAGTTCTGTTCTAGTTCTGTTCTAGTTCTGTTCTAGTTCTGTTCTAGTTCTGTTCTAGTTCTGTTCAAGTTCTGTTCTAGTTCTGTTCTAGTTCTGTTCTAGTTCTGTTCTAGTTCTGTTCTAGTTCTGTTCTAGTTCCGTTCTAGTTTTGTTCTAGTTGTTCTAGTTCTGTTCTAGTTCTGCTCTAGTTCTGCTCTAGTTCTGCTCTAGTTCTGCTCTAGTTCTGTTCTAGTTCTGTTCTAGTTCTGTTCTAGTTCTGTTCTAGTTCTATTCTAGTTCTGTTCTAGTTCTGTTCTAGTTCTGTTCCAGTTCTGTTCTTATTCTGTTCGAGTTCTGTTCTAATCTAGTTCCATTCTGTTCTAGGTTAGTACAGTTCAAATTTTGTTGTAGTTTTAAATTTTTTGCACTGACAATATTTTACACGAGACTGAGATTTTAAATTAACTACAAAAAGTTCATTTTAATGGGGTGAAATTAATCGCATTTTTCCGTAATGCAAAAATTTCAAAGAATGAGGAATAAATCGCTTATTTAGCACAAATCACATATGCATAAATCACTAAAGCTTTTAATTGCCTTCAATAAGAGTGAACTACAACTCCTTGACAATCCCTCGTAAACACATTCTTTATAAATTTTATTACATCACAGCTCCCCTCATTACATAGATGTCCCCTGGTAATATCTTTAAATTTTCAACATGTTAATCAGCAAAAAAGCAAATTAAAAGAAATTAGGAAAAAAATTTAAGACTTGAGATTTCAGTTTATTGCATATATAACTGTTGACTTTTTGCTAATTACAACAAAAAGAAACTGCACAATATTACATAATGTCAGATTTTTTATTTTTTTACATTACTGTATTTTACAATTTTTGCTTATTTTGCAATTAAATAAAAACCTTTTTTTTTCTTCTATTAACTTAACACTTGTTCAAATAATTTACAAACAATTTGAAAAATCTCTATCTGTCTGTATGTGTGAGTGTGTATTTGTATACGAATAGCAACACTTTTGTAGTTTTACACAAAAACTGTCTAAACAATTGTTGATTTTAGAAATGATTTAATTAATGTAAATATTTTAGAGATGAACAAAATAATTTAAACAATTAATAATATTTTTTGTAGTTATTTAAAGAAAATGACATTAACATTTGTTACTTTTAATGAAAATTTCATTACGAAAATTTAGTAGATATTTTGTAGTCAAGGTAAAAAAGACATGTCTAAGAAGTGGAGGATGGGTTTAACTACAACAGTGTTGTTGTAAATGAACTTGAAATTAACCAGAATTGGAACTTATCAGAAATGAACTTTAAATTAGAAGTGAACTAGATCCCATTTAGAAATATACTAAAACTGAATCAGAAATGAATTAAAAATGACTTAAACTCATTCAAAAATGAACAAGAACTGAATTTGAGTAAAGTAGATATGATTCAAAAGTGAACTAGAACAGATTAAGTTATTAACTGGAACTGATTTATAAATCAAATATAACTGATGCAAATCGGAAGTGAACTAATACTGATCGAAACATTAAAGGATTGAGGAAATAGCTAGAAGTGATTCAAAAATTAACTAAAACTGATTCGTAAATGAACAAGAACATATTCAGCAATGAACACGAATGAAATCATAAACGAACTAGCATTAATATCAGACCTAAGCTAACACTGAACTAAAACTGATTTTAAAGTAGTTATCGCTTTAAACGCTTCAATTACAACTACAGAAAAATGATTATAATGACAACATTCCATTTTTTTTCTTCGAAAACAATGACTTACCCTTAATGGTGTCCATTATATTTTTGGTATCGATATTTGTTAATGATGTTGTTGTTGTAGTTGTTAGATTCGGTGCTGCTGTTTTCATTGTTGTTAATGTGTGTGTACTGTTATTGGTGTTGTTGTTGTTATTATTGTGTTTAAGAGTTGTCGCAAAATCCTTTATGTGATTCTCCAATTTAAGGTCTGTTTGTATTGTTGCCATTTCATTAATCATGTTAAATACTCTTGCTGTGTTTACTGTTATTGTTGTTGTTGTTGTTGCTGCTTCTGCTGTATTATGCTATTAAGTTGTCGTCGTTTTTGTTGCTGTTGTTACTATTATCCTTACACAAGGATGTTGCAAATAATTGATAATCTGTAATCAGTACAAGAGAAAAACAACAATAGTATTAATAATAATTATAATAAAGATATTAATTAAAATTAGAAATCTTTCTATTTAAAACTCAAAAAAGGGACAACAGAATTTTAATTTGTGTGGGTTATTTTGTTGTTGTTTTGTTTCTATAAAAAGGATATCTTAACAGGTTAGAGTAATGAAATTTTATTAATATTATAATTGTGAAAGTTTAAAAGCCATTGTGTGTGTATTAGTAGAAATATTATAAAAGTCATAGTAGAGTAGAGAGAAAAAAGGAAAATTGAAATTTTAAAATTGTTTAAAAGGGTTTAATAATGCACAACAAAACATTCTAAAGAGTCAAACATAATTAATGATTTTAATAGAAAACCTGTGTGAGTGTGTTACGTTGACAAATTAAAAGGAATATTTAGAGATTTTCATTAATAAATCTTCAGCTGGTACTAATTTTTGAGAAATTAAAAGAGTGATTTATGTGTGTATGTATATTCATTTCTAAAATTAATACAAATAAAATTTTGCAATAAATCAAAAGGTTTTAAAAGTAGTAATACTGAACTAAATACGAAACAGAACTAAAACTAAACTAGAACTGAACTAGAACTGAAATCGAACTGAAATAGAACTGAACTAGAACTGAACTAGAACTAGAACTGAACTAGAACTGAACTAGAACTGAACTAGAACTGAACTAGAACTGAACTAGAACTGAACTAGAATTAGAACTGAACTAGAATTAGAACTGAACTAGAATTAGAACTGAACTAGAATTAGAACTGAACTAGAATTAGAACTGACTAGATTAGAACTGACTAGAATTAGAACTGAACTAGAACTGAACTAGAACTGAACTAGAACTGAACTAGAACTGAAACTAGAACTGAACTAGAAACTGAACTAGAACTGAACTAGAACTGAACTAGAACTGAACTAGAACTGAACTAGAACTGAACTAGAACTGAACGAGAACTAGAACTGAACTAGACTGAACTAGAACTGAACTAGAACTGACTAGAACTGAACTAGAACTGAACTAGAACTGAACTAGAACTGAACTAGAACTGAACTAGAACTGAACTAGAACTGAACTAGAACTGAACTAGAACTGACTAGAACTGAACTAGAACTGAACTAGAACTGAACTAGAACTGAACTAGAACTGAACTAGAACTGAACTAGAACTGAACTAGAACTGAACTAGAACTGAACTAGAACTGAACTGAACTGAACTAGAACTGAACTAGAACTGAACTAGTACTGAACTAGAACTGAACTAGAACTGAACTAGACTGAACTAAATAGAACTGACTAGAACTGAACTAGAACTGAACTAGAACTGAACTAGAACTGAACTAGAACTGAACTAGAACTGAACTAGAACTGAACTAGAACTGAACTAGAACTGAACTAGAACTGAACTAGAACTGAACTAGAACTGAACTAGAACTGAACTAGAACTGAACTAGAACTGAACTAGAACTGAACTAGAACTGAACTAGAACTGAACTAGAACTGAACTAGAACTGAACTAGAAACTGAACTAGAACTGAACTAGAACTGAACTAGAACTGAACTAGAACTGAACTAGAACTGAACTAGAACTGAACTAGAACTGAACTAGAATGAACTAGACTGAACTAGAACTGAACTAGAACTGAACTAGAACTGAACTAGAACTGAACTAGAACTGAACTAGAACTGAACTAGAACTGAACTAGAACTGAACTAGAACTGAACTAGAACTGAACTAGAACTGAACTAGAACTGAACTAGAACTGAACTAGTACTGAACTAGAATTAGAACTGAACTAGAACTGAACTAGAACTGAACTAGAACTGAACTAGAACTGAACTAGAACTGAACTAGAACTGAACTAGAACTGAACTAGAACTGAACTAGAACTGAACTAGAACTGAACTAGAACTGACTAGAACTGAACTAGAACTGAACTAGAACTGAACTAGAACTGAACTAGAACTGAACTAGAACTGAACTAGAACTGAACTAGAACTGATAGAACTGAACTAGAACTGAACTAGAACTGAACTAGAACTGAACTAGAACTGAACTAGAACTGAACTAGAACTGAACTAGAACTGAACTAGAACTGAACTAGAACTGAACTAGAACTGACTAGAACTGAACTAGAACTGAACTAGAACTGAACTAGAACTGAACTAGAACTGAACTAGAACTGAACTAGAACTGAACTAGAACTGAACTAGAACTGAACTAGAACTGAACTAGAACTGAACTAGAACTGAAAAAGAACTGAACTAGAACTGAACTAGAATTGAACTAGTACTGAACTAGAACTGAACTAGAACTGAACCAGAACTAAACTAGAACTGAACTGGATCAAGATCGAAACGAGAACTGATCAATAACTGAACTATAACTGCTCATAAATTTATCAAGAATAGAACTTTGAATGAAAGCAGTAAAAACTTCTTCTTTTTATAAATACAAAATTACTCATGCTCTCATTTTTATTTCTCTTTAAACATCAAGACATTATATTTAAAAAGTACTAACTCAAAAAGTCTAGTTTTCAGCAGAGCAAAATAAACTGTCTAGAAATAAATAATTTTCTTTCCATATTATGTTTAAAATCATCTTACATTTCGTTCTTTTCAAGAATTTATCTTGAGTTTGCACATTTTGTTCAAAAGAAAATTATAATAAATATGAAACTAAATTTCAAATTCCAAATTTTTAAGCAGATTCTTGTTTAATACGTCATATAAATTACTCTTTCAAAACAGTTACTATGTTAGATAGCACTTATTTTCTTCAGAAACTATGCTACATTGTGTTAGCCAAGTAATAAAAACTATTGATTTCAACTTTATACCCGACATGAAGAATGCATTGAGAAATCATTTGACATCAAAAACCAACTTTTTCCCAAGATTGAGTTAGCACTTTTTGAATATAAGGTGTTGATATGCTGGTTAATTATTTGTTGTTTTTAAGTCCATTTCATTTCCATCACAAGTATGAGTTGCATTATGGTTTGATTCTATGAAAGGATATATGAGTGAGTGTGTATTAAATATACATATACATATATGTGTATTTGTGTGTGGCTTAGTGAGCTTTTGTGTAGGTGTTCGTAGTGTGTAAATTGTATTCAATTTCATTAAATATTTAACCACATCAATAGTTTGAAACTTTGTATATGTACATTAACTATTATATATGTTTATAGAAAGGCAACAGGAATATGACCAGTATGAAAATGAGTGTGCATGTGTGTATGTGAAAGGATAATATGTGTGTAAGTATCATTTGTTAGTATCATTATCATATGATTATTATCATTTTTGCCACTGGTAGTGAAATTCAGTTTGTAGTTTGTATTTTTTGTTATTTTTTATGATTATTTTTTTACGGCATCATTATGTTTTATGAGCATAACAACAAGAGTAATGTCAGTGATATTTGTATTATTGTTGTTGTTACTGCTACTGGTGTTAATATTGCTGCTGTTGCAGTAGTTATTGTAGTAGCAGTAGTTGGCATTAATGATTATTTTATGTGAATGAGTTGCTTGGTTGGTTATTGGTGTAGTTAAATATTTTTTTGTTAGTTATTAAATTTGTTTATTATTTTTTTATATTCATTCAACTCTTCTTCTCTTTCATTTAATTTAATAAAATGCCATATTTTTTAATATGGTTTCAGTTGTTGTTTTTTTCTTTTTGCCCTACAACACTATTGTGTAAACGGTAAAGCTGAACTAAAACTGAACTAGAACTGAACTAGAACTGAACTAGAACTGAACTAGAGCTGAACTAGAACTGAACTAGAACTGAACTAGAACTGAACTAGAACTGAACTAGAACTGAACTAGAACTGAACTAGAACTGAACTAGAACTGAACTAGAACTGAACTAGAACTAGAACTGAACTAGAACTGAACTAGAACTGAACTAGAACTAGAACTAGAACTGAACTAGAACTGAACTAGAACTGAACTACAACTGAACTAGAACTGAACTAGAACTGAACTAGAACTGAACTAGAACTGAACTGAACTAGAACTGAACTAGAACTAGAACTGAACTAGAACTGAACTAGAACTAAACGAGAACTGAACTAAAACTGACCTAGAACTTTACTAGAACTAAACTAGAACTGAACTAGAACTGTACTAGAACTGAACTAGTACTTTACTAGAACTGACTAGAATTAAAATGAAACTGAACAAGACCTAAAACGAAACATAGTTTTTACAGCTGTAGGTGATTAAATGGTCTCATCTTTCTCATTTATTTTTTTTTTTTTTGTATAAATTGTTGTTTTTCATTTAATTTAACAGTTTATACTATTAATTACTTAATGTGAACAATTTTTTATTAATAAACTAATTAATGTTTAAATTATAAAATATTCAAGTTATAGAGTATTAATGAATTGAAAAAATACAAATTATAATAAAATCCGTAAAAAACGCACATTCAAGCAAACACTCAAATGCAGAGTAATTTAAGGCATTTAAGCAAATTGAGACAAATATATAAAAAATAGTTGAAATAAATCAAAACAAAATCCAGAGGCTTTTAATTAATAAAGTGTAAAACATATGATAAAAAAAAAAATAAACAAATTTATTTAAAAAAAAATAAATCAATTGAAAGTTTAAATAGGTCAGTGTTGTTGCATACAAATTGGGTCAAATATCAAGATGTTAAAATAAAAGTTTTTGGTTCTTTAAATGATAGTATGTCACTTTGTCACACTTTCTCGAAATACATACACGCCTTGTATTTTTTCAGTCCTCAAAAACCTCATTCTTTTATAGCTCACAAGGTCTTTTGCCTCAAAAACTAATTCATTTTCATAAACATTTTTTCTAACACAGTTTTACTTTCTATCAAAGAAGAAAAAAAAAACTGCAAACCATTTTTTTTTTTCAAAGAATATAATATAACAAACATACCAATTTGTGTACAGTGTCATGTTGCACTTGGACCAATTTATCTT